CAAATCTGTTGATCTTTTCATGATGAACGTTACTATTAGGTGCTCATCGATGGGGATATGATTTACGATCTGATGACACTCCAATTGAAGCAAATTTAGAATCTGTTTGTAAAACGGACAGTGAATACAAAGGAAAACGGGTGGTTGAAAGACAACAACAAGAAGGTGTGTATAAACGTTTAGTGTACCTGACACTGAATGAGGAAATTCCATTGTGGGGACTGGAAGGAGTTTATCGCAATGGAGAAGCGGCCGGTCATTTGAGAAGAGCTGAATTCGGATATTACATCAATAAACCCATTGGCAAAGCGTACATTCGACGCACCGATGGAAAACCAATCGATGCCAATTATTTGAAAGGGGCCACATACGAAATTGACGTTCTTGGAAAATTGTATTCAGCGAAATTACATCTCGATTCACCATTTGATAAGAGTAATCTAAGAATGTTTGGATATTATAACGAATTTCCAGAAAATGTTTAAAGTGAATTCAAAGGCAATATTGATTTATGTTTATTTTTTCCAGCATTTCTAATAACGACTTTTTAATGTTCAGTTGTCTGTAGGTAATTTGGTTAGCTTGAAATTGATTCTTAAAGTATACATTTGGCATCCGAGGAATTAAAATAAATAAAAAATAAATGATTTTGACATTGCACATTTTATGTATACAATGAACTTGAAGTTTTAATTTATCTGTTCCTATCCAAATTCAATATTTCTTTTAACTTCAGTCGATAATAAAGTTAAATTAATCTGAAGTGCAACCTATATATTTCGAGAGGTGATAGTATTTGCGAGATTAGTTGCACTTGACTGCAGTTTTATCGCCTTTCCTCTTTGGTTAATGTTCGATAAGAAATACACTTTATACATTTTTTATGCAGTTGTTTCAGTGAGCGTTAAGTCATATTTAAGAATAGATTGTGCGTTCATTGTACTATTGAGCAACATGTTTCGATTTATTTTGAAGAATCTTCGAAAATCGATCAAAAATCGAAGAAATTTTTCGGGCAGCTGTGAAAGTAAATCCACAAAGAAAATTGAAAATTTTCAGGGAAAATATGCTGATGTTGTCATCATTGGTGAATTATAGAGCGTGATTTTTTTTCTGTACAAGTAACTCAAAAGAATGTCGTGTTAATTTAGGTGGAGGTAGTCTCGGATGTTATACACTTTATCATTTGGCCAAACGTGGAGTAAAAACGCTTTTACTTGAACGTTCAAAAGTGACATCGGGAACAACATGGCATACAAATGGCCTTATGTGGCGAATTCGACCTAATGACGTAGATATTCAGTAACTATTTAAATCATTTCACGAAAAAGAACCATTACGATTTTCGGTCATTTAAATTAGGTTATTAAACCGAACGCGAGATACTGTTTTAGATATAAAAAACAATACGGATTTCGATCCTGGTTGGATTGAAAATGGAGGACTGTTTATTGCTCGCAATAAAGTAAGTATTGCTAAACATTTAATAACCATTTTTGCTCTATGCAATAAAATGTCAATTATCGTCATCGCTTAAGCTCCGATTAGATGAATATCGACGTCTTGCAACAATTGCTAAGGTCTATGGCATAGAACATGCAATATTAACACCTGATGAAACAATGAAACTGTGTCCTGTTTTAAACCATGACGCATTCGTGGGTGCACTTTATTCACCTGGTGATGGAATAATCGACCCAACGATGTTATGCAACGCTCTTACAAAGCTTGCAATTAAAACAACAAATGCACAAGTTATCGAAGATTGTCCAGTCACCAAAATATTGACTGAAAAAGATGGCAAAGGTTTAAATAAAGTTATCGGCCTACGAACCGAACATGGTGACATAAAAACGACATGCATTGTGAATGCGACCGGTGTGTGGGGAAGAGATTTAATCGAACCGTTAGGCATTCATTTGCCATTAGTTCCAATGAAGCATTCGTATGTGGTTTCCGAACCGATTGAGGGGATTCGCGGTCTGCCAAATTTAAGAGATCATGATGTTTCAATTGTATTTCGAATACAAGGATCTTCGATGTACTTAGGAGGTTATGAAAAAAATCCAATAATATTAGATAAAGTAGAAAGTGATTTCAGTTTTAGTTTGTTTGATTTGGATTGGTCGACTTTTGATGATCATATTGAGGGAGCTGTGACGTTGTGTCCAGCTTTTGGTGATGTTGGTATCAAGTGCACAGTATGTGGACCGGAATCATTTACTCCTGATCATAAACCGATTATGGGACCTGATCCTCGTTTGATTGGACTTTTTCATAATTGTGGATTCAATTCGGCCGGTATGATGTTTGGTGGAGGTTGCGCTGAACAATTAGCCGAATGGATTGTTCACGGAAGGCCCGAATTTTTTATGTACAAGTTTGATATTAGACGATTTACTCCACAGCAAATGGCTGATAAAGAATATTCTGTGCAACGATGTCACGAAGCGTATGCTGAAAATTATTCAATAGTTTTTGCGCATATTCAACCGTTAGCTGGTAGAAACTTCAAAACAGATCCATTGCATGAACAATTGATTGTGAACGGTGCTGTTATGGAAGAAAAACAATCATATGAGCGTCCTGCATTCTTCTACAAAGAAAAAGCACCCGTCAATATTCCACCTTACGATTGGTATGGCGCTTACGATAATTCACCAAATACCGATAAAACTTACCAGCGCATTCTGAAAGGAGATCAAACGTATGAGTTTTCAGGTCATCATGATAGGGTATAATCTGACTATATTAAATATTGACACCAATCATATTATGTATGTCGATTAATTCTTAGATTGGCGCCGAAGTCATGAGTTGTCGCACAAATGCAGCTATCTTCAATATGAGTAGCTGTTGTAAGATCTTGATTGATGGGCCTGATTCAAAGGAGGCATTACAGTGGATTTGCACAAATGACATCGATAAATTGCCCAATTCGTATGTTTCGCATTCAATAATTGATTATTATCGAACAAATCTGTACAGTTTGTTTCTTTATTAAAGGATCGTCTATACATGCGCACTTAATGGTCGCGGTGGAGTTGAGGCGGATTTTAACGTAACAATTTTGGAGTCTGGCGACGGAAGTATAATCAGTCCAAAGTTTAATGTAAGACCATGCCATTGAAAATACCTATATCTATTTATTCAATGACAAGTATTTCATTTAAAATTGGCTACAGAGTAATGGATATTTAATAACGGGCGATGGAGCATTCACTCATCAGATCCTAGCACATATAAATGAAACCATAGCCGAACGTCGATTTAATGTCAGCGTAAAAGATGTCACTGACCAAATGGGGGTTATTTCTATTCAAGGACCAAATAGGTATATTTATGGCAATCACAGACATCACAAAAGCTTATTTTAATCACTTTTTTTCCAAGTTGTGCAATTATTGAAAAATTAACAGGACTAAAGTTGATTCATGAGTTTTTGCCATTGCATAAAAGTATGATAATCAAATTGTGCGATGATAATCAAACAGGTTTGACCTCACGAATTCACCTAAATGAAATAGTAAAAGTGACATCGATGTGTGTCTTTATCAGACAATATATTTAGCTGCCGTCATCTGGATATTTCAGCCCATCTGGATGCCGTCAGCAGATGATGCAAAGTGAAAACAATAGAAGTAATACTAATTTTAACGCTATTACTAATACCAGTATATAACAAGCTTATATACCTATAACAATCACTTCTATTGTTTTCAATTCGTATCATCTGCTGACGATATCCAGATGAGCTGTAATATCCAGTTGACGACAGCTAAATATATTGTCTGGTCTTTATTAACATATATAGATTCTTTTGCCATTCGACTGTCGAGAGTCGGCTATGTGGGTGAACTGGGCTATGAGATTCACGTTGAGAATGCCTTTTGTGTTACGGTATACAACAAAATAATGAACATTGGTTTGGTTCA